TAAGTCTTTTAAGCTTGACATCAGTGTCCAGATCTCCTATTTTCTAAGGTGCTAAGAAGGAGAATTTGTTAAACAATCAAGACCTTCTAAAGTTGTTGATCATTATATATTTTTCTTGTGACCCTAACATGCGATCCATGGGTGATAATGTGAGGAAAACTTAGATGTACATGTTCGTCTGCACAGTAAGTATACCAGTGACACATAGTCCAATAACCAGTTAACAATTAGGGAAAGGAAAAAAGACCTTTGTCAGGTGGAACGTCCCAGACTCATGGACTTACATGTTGAGTGCTGGAGTTCAATCCTTAAGGAAATCACGATGCCAAGGAGTATTTAACTGAAAGTACGAAATTCTAATATCATTTGTTCATAGCCAAATCATATTATGCCATGGTTTACTTAAAGTATAGTTTTCCATTCCTTTTTTTTCCTTCTGATCTGTTCATAATAATAACGACGACGACGACGACGACGACGACGATAATAATTTATGAGGAGGATTCCAATCATCTGAAGGTGATTTTCAGGAGGGTCCCCTAAAAATAAAAAAGGAGTTGAAGAACTATAAAAATTCCTCATATAGTTTGAATTGTGGTTCTATTTACCCACAAGTTGTTTTGCAAACAGGCAGTTGGCCAACTCCTCAAGTCTTCTGACTCTTTGGTCAATTAGAAGTTGATCAGGTTCAGTGGATAGAATCATTTATTACCTTTTGTGGTATATGTCAGCTTGATGACCTATGAGACCTTAAGAAAATTCTCTGAGATGTTGGTAAGAAGACCCAAGATGTTGGCAAACTGGTCATTGGGAAACCAAATTGTAGGTGAAACCTTCAGTTACCCATAGTTCTAGAAATTATTGAGGTCAGGGTGTCAAAGTGAAACTGCAGCCATTTGATAGCAATGAATATGCAAGCTCTCTTATCCAAATTAATATATTGTATCATAGGTATTAAGTGTGACAGTCATGAAAATTGTAAAGTAAGCCACAGATATGCATGTATTTGTACATACGGTATTAAATGTTTGTTAACTTGTAAAAGAAACTAAAAATAGGGTGAAGCAATTTCCAACTCTGTGTTTAATCATTTAACTCCGATGAGTGACCAAGACAGAATTTCTCCTTACATTATCAGTATAATATCAAGCAGATAGGTGATGAGAATAAAGAAAAATTGATAAAGGGATAATTAGTTCCTCCAATTCCAAATTCTCCATACTTAACATGTGCATCGTGAAACTTTTGGCCAAAATTGACTAAATTATCAGGCGCTTATTCCAGGAAATAAGCTACTTTCATTTTAATATTTTTCTTTTAAGATGTTTCATTGTTGCTTTGAGACAGGGTGTGGAATTTGGTCCAGTTTTAAGAATAGGGTTGGAATAATTATGTATTTCAATCTAAGATAGGGAAAAGTTGACTGTAAGGAGGGTCCCATCCCTGCTGAAGAGAAGGTACTGCTGAGAAGAGCTTCTACAGAGGACTTGAGGCAGGTATCTCGGATAACTTATTTCTACTTTTGGTATTGAAAAGGCATGCCCCCTTCCCCTCCCACTGCCTCTCTTTGGCCTGTTGCAAAAGTCAGTGTAAAGCTCTCTTCTCTGTCTGGTACGTCTAACCATAGGCTGGGGCTAAACTGACTACAACAAACACAAAGTATAAATCTGCTTACATGATTTATTCGATATTTATTTGATAACCTTAGGAACTCTGGCCCTATCTACAAATACTAGCCAGGTAAATCTCAACTGTTATAAAGTCTTGATCAAGTGTAAATATAGGAGTATCAGATATGATATGCAAATTAATTACTGAAGATGAGAGTGATCATCACAGTTCCTACACTACCAAAGCAGCATCTTCATTAATCAGTCCTGTGCCACACATTTTATCATGGTAATGGCAGGCAAGCCCTAATTATGTACAAAAGAACGCTAGTATTTACATGAGCTGGGTCTGGGATATTTATTGTAATATTTATTTGCTTCGGTGCAATCCGTTAGCCCATGTGAACGACTTGTTTCAATTCTGGGCCGTTTCTGTTCATACTATGCGGCAGTGGTTTTCATGTCGACACGAAAAGCAGTTCGGTATAGTGTAGACATAACCTAATATTTACAACGACTGCAGAAACCTCAAAAAACTTGTGCGACTTATTAATATGAAATAGAGTAACTCTCTAACCTACCATTGGAAGGTCTTTTCTCTTTGAAAAGCCGAATTTTTAAATTTACAATTTTGCTACGATTTCATCTGCAGTAAGTAAACGACTACTTGACCCGGATTACTCTGATAATCATTGATGCTTATAATCTCCACAAGAACTTACTAAACTCAACAGAAAACTATACCTTGTAACAGACACAAGCTGATTAAAACATACAGAAGCTTGGAGTAAATTAGGATCGAAACTAGCCAATCATAAAATGGGCAAGTTTCCTGAGAGGTCAGAGATTTGTTTGTTTTCTCAGCAGTAAGCTTTGTGTTTTTACTTCATTGCCATTGGTGCGACATCCTTTGCTGTCGATAAACATGTTTATTGGTTCATTTTTTTTTTTCATTTCGATCTGGTTCAAATAATCTCGCTGCTCTAGCTTCTTCACAAACATAGTTTTTCTCTCATTCATATGTTAAGTTGTTGGGTTTCAAATGATACTGTGCTGGTTACCTCACATTTTTAAATTGTAATTAGGTAATATAATTTCCTTTTAGTTTTATCGATTATTTGTGAAATTAGCCATGCTATATACCAAGGTAACAGTCAGACTGACTCTTGCTAAGTAAAATCTCTAGGTGTTGTTCACCTGCTTCTGTGATGTTATTGCGTTTGAGGTTTAACCTGTGTAGCTGACAGTTTTCGTTGCTGATGGCTTCAGCCAAGTGCTGTGCTCCTTTGTCTCTGATGTTATTGTCATTGAGGAATAACGTGCGTAGCTGACAGTTTTCGTTGCTGATGGCTTCAGCCAAGTGCTGTGCTCCTTTGTCTGTGATGTTATTCTCCCAGAGGTATAACCAGCGTAGCTGACAGTTCTTGTCTCTGATGGCGTCAGCTAAATACTTTGCTTCTTCATCTGTCAATTGATTGTCTGTGAGGTTTAACCAGCTGAGTTGAGAATTCCTACATTTTAACAATTTACAAATCTCTAAACAGCCCGAAGGGCCAATGTTATTGCCACTCAAATCTAAATGTGAAATTTTTTTACCTTGATTCTCAATTACAGTATCTATTAAAGCAGCTGTCAGTTGACAAGAATTAAATTTTACAAAATCAAAGTTAGTTTGTTGAAGTTTTCTTTGAACTTTTGTTTTCATCTCACTGTTTTCACTACAACACTTCAATAATGTCACTGCAAAATGTTTTTTATCATTAGTCGGCCAGCAGGTGACTTTCCCAGTCCACTCTTCGTTGTAGTGCCCGCTTTCTTTCTCTTCAGTTTCCACAGGAAGAAGGTCTGTGATAATTTCGCTCGGTAGGTTTTCTTTATCGTTCATTAGTCCTGCTAGAAACTGGAAAACCAGTTCCCATTTGCCATCCTCTATGTTCATGGAAACAAAGCTCTTCAATTCTGTTTCACTCATATTCGCCAGGTGCCTGGCAGCGAAAAACTCTTGCATTGTTAAATGAATAAAACAGAATTGTTTTTCGCGGTTTGACTCGTCAGTTCGGCAGTCGGGTAGGCGGTGAAAGAGGGCGCTGCCTTCCATTCCTTGTACTTCGTTTCCTCCAAACATTAGTCTTCCTTCTTTAATTCCTTCAAAAGCCATCTTTTCCAGGTTTTTAAATTTCTCTTCAACTTCTCGGGGCAAATCGTCCGATTCTAAGTCTTCGCTAGTGAAATTCTTGCCGCGGAAGTCTTCGTTATGCCTCAGATAAATAATTTTCACTGCTTTCTTGTAAATATCTGTTAGTTTCTTTGGTAGGCTAAGAGTTTTAATTCCTTTAAAGCTCAGCATATGAAAGAGAGTTGAGCAAATGATGAAGCAACTCGCAGGAATGTAGCATAGAGAGAGGATGTTCATGTTACCGCCGATGTGTCGCCATACTGTTTTTCCCACATCCTTGTCTTCACCAAATTTGGTTACATAATCTTCGACTTGTGTGGATGAGAAACCGAGGATCTCGTAGACTTTGTCAAAAGGAATCTTTTCGATGCATGGTAGAGCCGTAGGTCTTGTAGTCGTCAAAACGGCAGCTCCGTTGAGAAGTTTCCCAGACGCAAGCTTCTCATAGAGTGCATGAACGGGCATCTTTTCGTCCACGCGGTCGCTGAATTTAGGTTCGAAGTTTTCATCGCCGATCTTTGAGTTATGCTTAAATTCATCGATTCCATCGAAAATAAGGAGAACTCTTTCGGGGTTGTCACAGATGTAATTCCAGACTTCTTCATCCATGTGATCTGATAGGGAATGTTCTGACGAGGTGAGCAGCTCCCTGAGTGTAACTTTGTTAACCGCGTTGACAGCTCTAAATTTGATGAAGAAAGCAACATCAAAATGGATTTTAGCATCAGGTGTCTTATTGAATGCTTTGTTTAATGCCCAGTCTCTCAGAACTTTGGTACAGTAAAGTGTCTTTCCGATTCGGCGACGACCAACAATCAAAACTTTTTTGTTTTTGTGGTTAAGAATGTCTTCCGGCCCACTAGGTGCTGTGTTTTTCTCAGCTGATTTGGTGTAGACTTCCAATTTCTCCCGTCTGTCTCCAGTAAAGTCGTATCTAGCCCTGTTCGGAATAACGACAAGGTTTGTGTAAATCTGATCTAGAGCTAAATGTTTAACTGGCTGTCCTTCGCCGGGAGGACTTGAAAAAGGCGCTCGGAGTTGTGGAGGTCGACATGTGTCTTTTTTAATTTTTTCCTTTGTATTTTCGATGAATTCTTGGAGCAGTGATGTTGTTCGGGGTTGTTCAGGCTCCTTTGGAATGAGTGGGATGTTTGTTGCATGGTGTGTACTTTCCTCTACCAGAGGTAGTAGGTGAGTTCTTAGAAACTTGGAATTTTTCATGAAACCATGATTTTTGCACGTTCGTATTAAAATATACACGGCTTCCATCAGAACGACAAAGACAAAAATTCCGTTCACCACCAGAATAGCCTTCATCCAGGAGTTTTTTTTAGTTGCTCGTTGATTATGACAATCGTGTAAAATTGGTGTGGAGTTTTGCATGACGCCAGTAGAATTCCTTGGCTGATCTCCTGCAGAGTTTGGATCACAACGAAAGCGAGAGGGAAAGTCCGTCGGATACAGAAATTGAGTTTGTAGGACCATGAAGAGAACGCCAAACACAATCCTCGTGAAAAGTTGACCAGAGTAAGCTATAAACAACTTTTTTCCACCAGATAATGCGTTTTCTCGGCCGCACGATTGTTCCTCGTCACCATTACAAGCGCTTGTAGACAGTTTACTGACTGTAGAGCTCACTATTAGGGAGTAAATAGCACAAACACTTGCAATGAGGAAGAAGTTAAGTATTACAAAGCCATTTGAATACACTTGCCTTTTAGCTGATGTTTGAGACTTATCAGTCACCAATACCCGACGACTGAAAATAATTAACTTTTGCAGCATAGGTTGACGAGGAAAATTCAGCAGTCATGAGATGTATTTGATGAAATGTTCAGATCTATTCTTAGCTGTTTGTTTTTCACATGCCATGTTCTTGTGTTTAACCCCTCAGGCTAATTTTCTTCCATTTTTCACACAATTTTTTGACAACACGCAAACACTCTGTGGAAATATGCGCCTTTTGTATTGACCAAGCGTGAGGTCAAGATGGCTTGATATTGGCCCAGTTCTTTTTATGCGTTGTTATGCAACGAGACGAAGTCGAAAAAGAACGAGTCCAATATCCAGCCATCTTCACCGAGCGTCGGTTAGTTAGTCTACTGAGGATTTATTTCATGGCAAAAAAATTACGCTTGTATATACGAATCCAGAATGACTTGTTTATTTCGAGAGCCGGGAAAGAAAGCCAACTGTAATTGGCCCATGTGAAAATATGTGAACTTCATATATTCATTGGATCTGATTTATCATCACGGGTTTATTACGAATCAACAAACTGTGTTTGTAGAATGGTGTACCCAAGAGGCTCGTTAAATGTTTTCTTTAGTTTGACCGTCTTCTGCAATCTCGGGCGATAAATAACTTTGGATTATAATTTTCTGAAGTCTGCAAACAATTTTTTTTTGGTTCAAAGCAAGACAGAGCTTGGAGCAGATTAACAAAGTTCGAAACCGTTGGACAATGTCGACGACGACTGAGTCGCAAAAAGCGGCGCGCGGAATCAAAGCAGGCAGTACGCGACACATCTTGTCCGCTCGGGTAGCCAAATATAGGTAAGGAGATGATTTCAAGTGCAAATTGGTGTTAATGCAGCAGAACTTATTCAAACGAAATTGCATGAGAAATCTTGTTGAAAGTTGTTCATGGTCCGCATGTAAAAGCATCATAGAAAGTTAAGACAGGGGAAATTTTGACAGCGCGCGCGGCATTTGTGACTTGTACTCTTGTTACATCTATGCATTCCTGTTACAACTTCATACTCGTGTTCCAAAAAAAATGTACTCGTTTTCAGTCAATCAAACGCGCGTAAATTTTTTATGTATCTCAAGATGCTTGTAAGAACATGAGTTTGAAAGAAGTGGGGAAAGCCAAGTCCCTAAAGATATGAGAAACTGCCATGATGCTATCACCTTTTGCCAAATGTTTTCACGATGTTTTCGACATGTTATATTATTTTCAAATGCAATCATACATGCATCTAAGCCAAAAAAACGTAATCAAGAACTATGTAATAGACCTCTTAACACTTTTCTCAGCCATACGCATCATAAGAATGACTGGTACACCCAAATCCTTCTTGATATAGCGTTCCGTTATGGAGCTGCTACTTTTGCCTTTGCTGGATCTAAAGTTTGGGAAAAAAATTCCCTCTAAATTAAAATCTCTCTCTTACAATAATTTCTATGAGCAGTACAAACAGTACCTTCTAAATACCCAATGAGTATTATTTAACTTTACTACCGTCACTGTTAGTAATCATTTCTATTTCTATTATTATTCTATTAATGTTACCACATGAACTGGTAAGCAAGAATGTATGCAGTTATAATTTTACTTTTTCCGCTACTCATTACTTGTAATTTTATATAAATGTAAAGTATGCCAGTTACACGTGGCGGTGACCAACTCGAAAGCTTAAGCTGCTTTGGTCACTACGCACAGTTTATTTATGATTATTTATGTAATTTATTGTTTTTTGTTTATTTTTACTTTTGTAATCTATGGTAATATTTGCTGTAATCTCTTGAGATAGTGCAAAATAAATCTTTTCTTTTCTATCCTGTTCTTTTCCATCCACCATGAATGAGATCATTGGTGCCCAGTTTCCTAAAAAATCGGAAGCAACAAAAACAATCTTCGTTCCTTCTTCAATCTTTTAAGACATCACCGCACAGTTCAGCGAATGTGTACCGAAATTTTGTTTACCAGCAAAGCAACTGACTCACCTCTGATTGGTCGCTCTTTTCCTCGGACGTCACTCAAGTACCATCCCGACGAACTTTCTGGAGCTGTTTCATTAAGAGAGCAATCAATTCTGATTTCAGAAAGTAGGATGGAATTCCACAACATATTGTACGCTTGATCACTTGCCCCAGTCTCTTGTTTAATTCACGTATTCCGAGAACACTAGCGTCTTGGGTTCGGGGATATAGGTATGGACTGTGGCTTGAAAATGAGATCAGAAATCAAGGTGAGAAGTTGGTAAAAGCCATCGCAAAGTTAGAATGTTCTGCGTTTAAAGTATGCACAATTTTTTATAACAAAATTACTTTACTTTTATTCAGTCAATAAAATTAAATTTCTCACTGCATCGAGTACTATGAGTTTGTTTCGAGTGGATTGTTATTTATACTCCTCATCCCTACCCCTCACCCCATACTCTCAGGCCTACACTCAGCCCCCACCCCTCACTCCCGGAATAGACATCAGTGTGGTGGATAGGGAGAGTGGATCTTATCACCGCCGGTGATGTTTAGAGGTGATATTTCTTGCCGAAAACTCTGTCAAAGGTATAGAAAGTGATGAAAGTAGCAGTCTAGATCGGTGGCTTAAAAATGAGATCCAGAAATTCAGGTGAGAATTTAGTAAAAGTCATTGTCATCCAACACGTGTTTTTGAAAAGCAAAGTTGTTCACCGCCAGCAGTCCTTTTTACATTTTGCATCGCGCACAGTTCTTGAGTTTTCATCAAAAACTAGTATCTGAGACCAAAAGATTCCATAATTTTCACAAAGGGCATCTTTCGAACAATGGCATATGATGTGATCCTACTATTTAGCTTCATTTACGTTTCACATGCGTACGTTACGCGCGCGTAGTACGATCAGCTGTTTTGTTAATCAGTAAGTTTCGTATATTTCTTGTTTTGGTTAATTTCAAGTAACAAACGGAACGAAAACATTGTCTTGTTGATTTTCTTATTGAAGGAGAAGATGCTGAAGACGAGGAGTTTCCAGTGGAGGAGTCTGCAGCTTCCAGTGAGTGAAATGCTTTTAGGTGTTACACGTTCAACATGGCAAAGTTGTGTAATGTTTGAACGTATATCCAGAAGAATAACTGTAAGTTTGCAGGATATCATTATATTTGTGTTGAAAGTGATAAATTTACTCCATTTGAATTATTCTTTTTGAATTATCCCCCACACCGTTCCTTCTTTTTATGCTGCTCCCAGTTCTTCTTCCCTTAACTTGTAGTTAGTAGCTTTTTAATTTTCAAAGAACGTCAGACTAATTTTCATGATGATGAAGCTACAAACAGGCCTGTAAATTAGATAAAACTCTTTGAGATTATTTCTACGGAACCCTACTCCATGGAGCAAGTACTTAAAAAAATTATGTATTGGTCAAATAAAATACTTTATAAACATAGTGAATTGTTTAGATGTGCATATCTTAATTTTTTTTGAACATGCCAGCTCTCAGAATTCCACAGTTTGATACAGTCCAGGATTTTACCGCCATCTTAAATTTAACATTGAACTGCTAGCCACTTGAAATGGAAGGCTTAAATGTAATCCATGAACGTTTTCTTTAATAGGCTGATTATGATCTTCAAGAGGCCAAAAGTACGCATATCCTTTATTTGGCGGCAGGTTTTACATCTTTCAAAACACTTGTTCATGTATGGTTAATACATTACCAATAAGACTGCAAAAGAGTAATCCATATATTTAACCTGAGCTTCTCTTCACTTATCTCTTTGCAGTACTGTAACAAAATTGAGATAATCATAAACAAACAAATAAAATTGGGATAGGTCAGCAAAGCGGGACACTCGGGCCAGTCGCATGTCCTAGCTTGGGCGTTGCCTCGCGGCTATCGACTGGTCAGTGGTTAGCGAAGCATATAACTGCGAGGCTAAATTGGTGCTGATTACGGATTTCATCAAAATTAGTCTCGACCACTTAATGCCGGTTAAACATGTCAGACTTCACCTGAATGACCCCCCGTGGGTTACTGAGCGGTTCAAGAACCTCATTAAGCTCCGTCAACACACCTTCCACAATGGAGACATGGATCAATACCGGAGATATCGAAATGACATCAACCGCATGCGTAAGTCACTTCGCAGTAAATACTATGCACGCAAAGTGAATAATTTAAAGAACATCAAGCCCCCACAGTGGTGGAGTGCAGTTAAACGAATCGCCGATATGATATCCTGCGTCATCTTCTGAAAGTCTCCTTTCCAACCTTCAGCTCGGGGACAGTTTCGATCTCCTAAGTGACGTTGAACTAGCTAATGCCATCAACTCTGTGTTCTTAGAACCCATGAAGCATTACCAACCCCTATAGGCTGTCCCTACTGTAGTGGAGGACTCCGATATGCCTTTAATTACGGAATTTGATGTCCTACACGCTCTAACCAATCTAAACCCAAGGAAGGCAGCTGGACCTGACGACATCGGTAACTGGCTTTTGAGGGAATATGCAGTGATTCCCGCACAGCCTATTACATCTATACTGACCGCGAGCTTTAGAGAACAAAGGCTTCCTGCCTCTTGGAAGCTTGCGGACGTGGTGCCTCTCCCTAAGCAAAAACCCGCGGTAGATGCTACTAAGCACCTGCGTCCTATCTCCTTGATGCCCGCTATCTCTAAGGTTGCCAAAGATTTTGTGGTACTCAGATACGTCAGTCCAGCGGTGTTGCATATCATAGACCTGAACCAATATGGCGGTATTCCAAGATCCTCCACCTTGTACCCTCTGATTTTCATGGTACATAACTGGTCACAAGCCACTGATGCCACAGGTGCAGCTGTTAGAGTGGTATTTTTCGACTATCATAAGGCTTTTGATCTTATTGATCACAATTTGCTGGCCAGAAAGATCGAAGCCTTGCACATGCCACGGTGGGTTCGCGTCTGGGTGCTGGATTTTCTGTCAGACAGGAAACAACGTGTCAGGTTGTCATCAGACTGCAGGTCAGAGTGGGGCTCAGTCCCCGCCGGGGTACCACAGGGGACCAAGCTTGGTCCCTGGTTGTTCTTATTAATGATCAACGATCTTGAGGTCGACGCGCTCACTTGGAAGTATGTAGACGACAC